CTGGTGGAAGAAGAAGTAGTTCGTTCGGTGTTAGGGGATCCGCCCTAGCTGTTTCAAGTGCTGCTAAAAAATATCCTATAGCCTTTGCTTTACTTTTTTACTTTACGTCGTGCAATCTTGCTCAGATGGAAAGATGCCTCCCATTCACAGTGGCTGCAAGATATCATGTCTCGTCTAAAACTCGAAAAGATCAGGAACTCACTTAAACAGTCTCTTCTTACATTTGAACATTTGTGGGGTCCTTTCTTAAAAACATTTCCAGCTCTCTAATAGTTCAGACATGCTCAACTGCACTGATTCTACCTAGAGTGTTGTGGAGTGATGATATAGTTTATATGGGGAAGGGGTTATTTTGTTTTTTAAGATAAGATAAGAGCTTTATTGATCTCACAAGTGGAGAAATTTACTATTTTATTTATTTATTATATTATATCTTTGTGCTTCACTACTTGACTTGTTTTACTGTAGTTGTCATGCCCCTTTTTTGATTTGTGAAGTCTATATCTCTCTTGTATGATACAAAAAACTTTCGTATGAACAACCTGTCTTACTGGGTTTTACAAGCCCGCCTTGTAACATCTCATAACTGTGCTCTGTTTTTTGTTTATGTAAAATTCAATAAAAATATCTTGAGTTAAAAAAAAAAGAGGATCCGCCCTCAAACTTTAACTTCTGAGTCTGGATCCCTTCTCTGTTAACACTGGAACAAACCAGGCCACCGACTGAGTGGAAACAATAAAGAAGTAAAACAGACTCACCATCGGAGCATCTAGAAGGAGTTTATCCATAGTTTATATCCCCATTTTATTGGGATTAATGTGCCTCTGACCAGATCTTTAAACACTTTTTTTTAATTTCCTTTAAGTCAGGATGGTCACAGTCAAGCTTGAACCACTTAAAGAATCCCAACGACCTTTTGTGGTCAATTTAGGTTCTTTATTCTGATGGAGTAATCTCTTTATATCCACATTTCTCCTTACACAGTGTGATGTTTACACTCAAAATCTACTAATGTTTATTCAAACTCATTCTTTCCACCACAAGCTAAATGTTTACTGTGTGATAAGACAGGCTCCTTACTCCATGCAGAACACATTTAAAAATAATATTAATAATAATAATAATATCCCTCTGGGATTATTAAAGTTAAAGTATTTCTGATTGTGATTTAAAGTATAGACATTGTTAATTGAAAATCTTTGAACAGCAACTACTAAAAGCTTAAGTGATGATTGGAGCTGACCAGATTCAAATGGCTCTGAAAGGTGCACTGAAAAGTAATAAATATCAAAACAAAACATTGACTTTCATATCATTCC